TTCCTTCAATTGTCTCTTTCTGCCAACTAATATTTCATAGTTTATATGACAGTTCGTGCTTGCCTGTATTAGTCGTTTTATACGCCTGTCTATCACCAAAGGAAAGCTTAAAAACACTTTAGGGCTGTTGAGCCATGCTCATTTTTCGACATTGGCCATTTTGTCTTGGCCCAATGTTCAACAGCTCTACATCTCTCATCATCCAGCGTGAATTAGGGAATGTAGGTAGTGGCGACATTCGTCTTGCTACTATCGGTGACAAAGATTTGGGGGTATTAAAGAATATGCTTGTGGAGATAAGATCATGTGCATATATTAGCCATTGCCATAAGATATTCCTTTTTTTAATCAATTAAACACTTATCATAATTCTTTTCTCGACTCAAGCACGATTAGTACATATAAAATGCTTAATATTTAGCTAGCCATTTATACCTGACATATGAACTAAACTGGTCAAAATATTTGATACATCAATGAATCTGGTACCGATAACTTGTTTTTTAATGCTTTTAAATTATATCTCCATCGTAGGAGACTGACCTGCCTTGCTGGTATCTCTAAATCTCCCGCGCTCTGTTATTCCCAAACATACATTCATACAAAAAATTATGCTTTTGAATGAAGTAAAGTATTGTTTCTTTTCCTAAGACTTATTATTCTAATCCAGCCGGGCCTTAATAATTTTAACTGCCCGAGGGTACACTTTATATATGAATGATGGAAAATGAGTTGGGGTACTAGTATTTCTACATATTTTCACAATCACCTGTTTTAAATTCCACCACTCTATTCTTGCCTGGTGTTACTCTAAGTTTTTCTTATGCTTTTTATCTTTTTTCAAATATCATGACAACTTGATGCAGCTCGATTCCCTACCCGAGTTGCCAGTCATCGTTCCTATCAACGGAAAGCCACTTAATTATCATGGTCCCGGAGGCGTTTTCACTTCTCGGCACCGTTATGGCTCGCCAGTTGTCTCCACTTCATCTGGCTCCTCATCGCCTTCCTCTTCTTCTTCGACTGCCCCAGAATCCTCATCTTATTTACAAAACCTTAGGAATGACCTGACAGGTGCGTTTCGCACTTGTACCCTAAAATAATAAATGCAAGCAAATGTCAATAAGTTCACGCCTTTATTATATACTACTCATAAATTTTAAGCAGCAGGTTTCATAGATTTTGTATTTTCATAATATAGCATAAAATTATTTTGTCCTTTCGGACTGGCTGATAGAGTATTGAAAAAATTCAGTTAGTGCTTTCTTTTAGCTTGAGCTTTTGTTGACCTATTTCAGCTCATAGCAGTCTCATTTTTGGAGCGCCTGGTTGCATGATTTATGCATTGTATCAAATCCTGGGCTTTAAAAAAATCTCTACACCTTATTTACAAAATGGCAGCTTCTAACTTAATTTAATAGACTATCTCCCTTTAGTAGATGATAAAAATATGATGGGACTATAATTGCTCCATTCTGTCGTTATGTTGAATTATTACACTTAAACGAATGGCACTTTTTAACGATCCTATTTGCTGATTAAAAAGGCTATGGCGATGATGACTATAATTATGGTGAGAAGGAATATAACAAATTATGAAATTTATGTGATGCTTGTATGCTTTATTATGGGTAATTTGATTACCATGGACTTACCTTTGTTTCCTTTAATGTTAGGCTAACTATAGCAGTCCATGAAATTCAGTAGTAAATAAATAACCTTACATGTATTAAATTACATATTTTTGTATTACTGATAGTCATGATTTTTGTCGTTTACTAAATCCATGCATTTTTATA